CACGCCGGTACACGACGTTCCGCTGCGAGCGCCCACAGGAAAACCGACCGGCAGAGAGCCCTGAACGGGGCTCTTTGTTCAGCTTTTCTTTCTTTATTTATTTTTTTTTATTTCCCCTCCCCGCTTCAACTTTTTGCTCGCAGCTGACAGGCTCCCTTCCCCCTTGCTGCTGCCTCCAAATCGCTGGGAGCGAGACCCTGGGGGAGGGATCCATGGCTGGCCAAAGCAGAAATAGGGGCAGAAGTTTCCAGCTGCCAGGGAAAAAAAGAAAAAAAAATAAATCTGCGTTTGGAGGAGGGGGAGCGCAGGGCTGGATGTTTTTTTAATTTGTTATTGCGGTGCAAGCCATCCCTCGGTTTTCACATCAAGTGTTTACTGAGAGGGAGGAGGGAACGGCCAACAACATGTTTTTGCATTTCTAGTACTGTACAGGCTGAACTTTTCACTTCCTCTCGCGCGTGTGGCTATTTCAGGGCCGGGCACACACACAAACAACCCGCGTGCGGCACCGAGCCCGGGACGTTCCCTGCTCCTGCCCGAGAAAACAAGGAATGGGAGGAGGCTGAGGTGGAGGGAGGCTGCCCTGGAGAACATCTCCAGACCCGTGGGGGAAGATTCGGGTGATGCTCGGGCAACTGAAACGCTCCCTTCTCTTCAGAAGAGCCCCAGCTCGGACTGAGTTCTTTCTTTCCTAGGAACGGCGGCACGTTTAAAGTGACTGCTGACCGGGAAAGTCACTTACTGGGTAGGAGGGACTGGCAGCCCTCCAGGAGTGGGGAGGAGGTGGGTTTTTTTGGGGTGGGAGGCACGTTCTCAGCTGAGCTGCGGGCCTTTACGCTACAACGCGGCAAGTTTCGGAAGCCGTCGCTTCCGTCGAGTGAATTTCCGCAGGCACGGAGCAGAGTGTTGGCCGATCGGTGAAACTGAGGTGGGGACGGGTTCAGGTGAACCTGTTTCAGTTCAGCTGTGACTGGAGTGAAAGAGGGAGTTAAAGATCAAAATAATCTCGTAAATAAGATGTTGAAAATGGAAGAATTGGGCATCTGGAGCACTAAATTGCACAGTTGCTTAAACACCGAGCTCCGTGGAAAAATTAACATTTTGAAATAGTTATGACAGCAAATGGAAATCTGGTTCCCTTCAAGACCAGAAGTAAAGTGCAAATGAAAAACAAGATGATTAGAATGGATGGATTTAAATACAGGTTTTCCGCTGCCAGTTATAAACCAGGATTAAAATATGATTTAAATCAACCCGCTTTTTGAGTGTAAAGCACGTGTGGTTTGGTTCTGCTCAGAGGGTTTTCAAATTGGACTTAAGGTGCCCGTCATTACAGCCAAGCTGCCTCCGAGGTTCCTTAAACCTCCTGTTCCCTCCTGAACGACTCATTGTTTCTTTCCTCATATTCCCCCTCCCCACGCTTTGAGATAAACGGTTCCAAAGACAGAATTATTTTATTATCGCAGAGCAAGCTGGCGTGTAATGAAGAGGAACATGAGTTTTGGGGTGTAGCTTCGGCATGAGCGAGCCGCGTCCGACCAGTGCTCAAGGGGGAGGACACGGCTCTGGCAATACACGAGGTGCTGCCGGAGAAAGCGTCACCGCGTGCCCCTTCGCACTGAGCCGGGCTCCTCTCGTCCTGTTCTCCCAAAAAACACCAGAGGCTGGGGCTGACGCCAAGTGTTCCTGGCAGGGTGTCGTAC